CTTGCGAGATGATGTTGTCGTTGTATTTGGGGTTGCCTTGTGGCTCACTTCTGGAGGCTGCCGTTCGCTGAATGGCATAATCGCTCCGTCTTCGTGCAGCTCAGGATCAGAACTCGCATCTTCTGATTTTGCTAGACTCGCCATAGCAGCTATCTTTGCTTTTGCAGCTTGACCAACAGATGCGAGACCGTTGACGGGATCATGCGCGAGCATGTTGCTGTCGACGTGCGTTTGCCCCTCCAGAAGTTGAGCAATACCTATCATGGCAGGTTTCGCTGGGTATGTAAGTGCAAAGCTCTCTTCCGATTCTGCTGGCCAGCTGTTGATAGCCATTCCCACCTCGTGTGCTTGGCTGAGAGCTTTCCAGGATTTCGATGTCGCCAGTCTCGATACCATCTGGCTACTCTCCCTGAGTAAATTCTCATCTTCTTGTGAACACCTCTTGCCTTCCTTGGCGAGATAGTTTTCGCTCGTCTCCAGGGTCCCGATGACATCAGCAAGGCTGAATCCCGTCCAAGTAAAGTTCGACTGGCGAAGATTCCTTATTAAACTATGCCGAGCTTTAGCGCTATTTTTGTGAAAGAGGTAGTCTACATCAGTTCGCTCACTAGTAATCGCGTTTGCGCGAAGGACTTGGACAAATAAGTTGGCTGTCATCTTGTCAAACCAGCACGGTTTGAGATACACGACACGATGCCGCATTGGGGGAAGGACAATGCTTTTGTCAACATCTTCTGGTTGCGTCTTAACCACAAGATTTTCCAGCACGCGAACGAAGCATGAGGAGAAACTGCTGTAGGTCTTCCGCTGTTGATGTTCGTGTCTATAGACATATTCGTCCCAGTCCTTACTTTCGCTCCAAGGTTGTACCATTAGAAAGTGGGATGCCAACGAACCAAGTGCTTTCGTAGCTTTGCTGGTCTCGTCGTCGTAGATGAATGCTTTCCTGTGCTCGATTACCGACGCTCGCAACGGACGGAGCTCGTCGCTTTCGGTATCCAGCGTTAACGCATCCATCTCCACGCCTACCAAATTCCTGGCTGGTGCTATACAAGTCAGTCTCCAGACCTTCATATTCCTCATCAGACTTACTGCCGGATACAACCCAACGTCGTTCCGCTGGAATCTGCTTCGCAACTAGAACTGCATTTGAAACAGAACTTGAAAAGCTGTGACCTTCATCGACGATGATTCGTAGCCAGTGCAACTTCAACAACAGGGATTCGTACACATTGGTATTATTGAAGCAGGTGCAACTGCGAATGCGGGTGGCGCCAATGTAAGAGCAAGAACACGTGAGGGCGGCCCCAGATGTTGCACGTCGACCTTGACTGTCTGCTCCATCTTGGATCTCTTGCTCGAAACGATTTCGACTGAACAAGACAACGTCGTACTTCATAAGCTCGGTCGTTACCGGAAGCTCACTCTTGAGGTCAATGTCACCGTCACTTTGTGAATTCACCCTGATTCTGCTGCGACCTTTGGACGCTGTGTCGACGACAAGGACTTTCAAACCACCTTTCAGTACATGTTTCTGGATCTCCGACTGCCATTGATGCAATAGATTGCGCGGTACGACGATAATTGTGCCTGAACACATCAACAGTTGACGCTGAGGAGGTGTGCTTGTGTGTCGGCTTTTCCTTGGGAGCGCACTCGGTATTTCGTAGAATACAGGGTTGCGTTGCAATGCGTCCCTCAAAGTAGGTGGGATCCCATTTCCATTTGCCTCTGACTGATCCAAGTAGGCGCTCGCTGGTATAGAAAATCGTCCTGCCATCGAGGCAGCCATGTCTGATAACTTTCCGACGCGGCTCCGAACAGGGGGTGGAGGATGGTAGGCTGGTGGTATCCGGGGATAATGGCCTTTTGTGGCTAGAATGACTGCAAGACAGATGATTGTCTTGCCCAGGCCCATCGTCTCCGCAAGGATACCGCCTCGATTTGTCTCATAGTACTTGGGTGTTCGCAGAAAGGATCCATCTCGTGCGCCAAAATAGAACCTCTGTCCATCGGGAGACAAGCGAGCTTCTAATCTTGGATCAAGTTGCTGTTGAGGTGAGGTTTCCCTCTGTACCATCAGACTAGCGGATCGTGCTTGATAAGGGTAAAGTCTTGTCCTGAGTCCAGGAAGGGGTTGCTCCCCATGCATCTCCCAGGGTGAATCCGCCGAAGACCGTAACAAGTCGTCCATTGCCGCTCGAGCGTACCTGTTCTTGACATTCTCGGGCTCTGGGTTCGGCGATGGTAGGTTGTTAAACAAATAATAAAGCGAATGTGGCTCAGCTTTGGCCCATGGGTCAAAACGTGAACCTGCGGAACCTGTTGGAGAGCCGGTCCACGACTCTGATGATGTATCAACTTGCTGAAGTAGCTGTCTTAATGCTGCTTTCAAGTTTCTGCTGGAGCGATCGATAGTACGACGATGCCAATCGGCTGGCAGCAGGTAAACGCGTACGAGACTGTGTTGATTTACAGGCTTACTTGCTTGAAGGAATAGCCGGATCCAGCGCGCGCTCAAGAGCCGTTCAGCTTCCTCGCCAATAATTAGTCTGACTTCGTGAGGGAGGTCGTGATGCAACAGCTCCAACCACTTCTCGCTGTTGACTGAACTACAGGGAGATGGTATAGTTTGGTCAAAGTGAAGGCAGCCGACGGCGATATATTCTTGGAGATCGTCTCGCACCGACTCTGCACCATGAGTGGACGGGTTGCGTATTGGGGTCATGTCGGAGCTGCAAATGATGCTCTTTCACTTGTCGAGGGCGGGATTGTATATGAGCAATTACTTTCACTTTGGTCTAGTAATGGCCCAGAAACCATCGGGTCGAACTGTGCAATTGCGGTTATTTGAGCATCGCGGCATGCTAGGTGCACACCGAAACACGAGGTGGCGCGTCCAAGTCGCGATATAAAGTTGTCAGCACGGTTACTTTCGATTTTCTTGGGTAGTGCGGAACGAGTGCGATTCCAAGGTTGGCAGCCCTGGAGAAGGCACCCGCCGAGGTCATGCCCAGGTGTTCGCACGCCGTTATGATTATTACGCGAACGCCTTCGGGTGAAGTTGTTGGCACCACGTGACAGGCCTGTCTGGAAAACTTCCAAGGTTGTTAATCGCACATATAGGTAGACAATGCATTCATAATCGTGGAAGTCGGAAGATTTGCTCGGGAAAATACAAAACTAGCAGTATGCTGCGCTCGAATGATGAAAGACCGAAGCACATATTATCGCATCTCCTGCTGGCCATCCGTACCTTCAACTTCCTCGCCCCTTGCCCAAACACTCTCCATTGCTTGTCCTAGGATCTTCATGCCCTCCTCGATCTCACTCTCCGTAATTACTAGTGGGGGGACGAATCTTATAGTGTTGGTACCGCAGGTGATGATAAGCAGGCCTCTCTCGCGGGCGGCGGTGACGATTGGTGTAGGATCAACATCGAGTTGCAGCCCCAGGATGAGACCCTTACCTCTGACCTCTCTGATCTCCCTGGGAAATTTCTTCCTTAGCACGTCAAAGCGCTTACGAAAAGCCTGCTCCTTTGCTGGAATCGAGTCCAGGATTTCAGGTGAAGATAGGCGAGAGAGGATGTATGAAGCTACGCGTGATCCGAGTGGGTTACCACCGAAGGTAGTTCCGTGATCACCTGTCTTGATGTGTTTACAGACAAAGTCGTTTACAAGAGTCGCACCGATTGGGAACCCATTTCCAAGGGCCTTGGCAGTAGTCACAATGTCAGGATGGCAGTCCTTGGGATAGCTTCCATGTGCCCAGAATGTTCCTGTCCTGCCTAAGCCGCACTGAATCTCATCATGGATCAGTACAGCGCCAACTTCTGTGCAGCGCCTGCGAAGCGCAAGTAGAAACTCGGGTGTCGCAACATTGACACCTCCCTCACCCTGTATTGGCTCGACGATGACGCCGCATGTTGAATCTGTGACTAGGTCTTGAACTGCCTCAACATCGTTGAAAGTACCGTATTTGAAACCGGGGACCATTGGCGAAAACGGTGTCTGGTATTTGGGATTTGGCGTTGCGCTCAAACTTCCCATTGTGCGACCATGGAAAGAATTGTGAAACGAGACAAACTCATGTTTATCCTGATTAGGAGATATCGACTTTCCAACCTTGCGTGAGAACTTGATCGCGGCTTCATTGGCTTCGGAGCCACTGTTACATATGAAGGTACGGGTGGCGCTCTCGAAACCGCCGGTCGCGTGTGTGAGTTGGATCAGTTGCTTTGAGAGCAAACCAGTATGTGGGTTATGGTACAGGTTCGACGTGTGCATGAGTTGTTTCGCCTAGTATCTAGAGTCAATTTGGTACAGCAGGCTCGGCACTGATGGCATAACATACCTGCTCAGCAAGGACTTGTGCAACGCCAGCATCACAGTGTCCCAATGCGTTGACGGCAATTCCAGCTGTGAAGTCGAGATATTTCCGGTTCTCAACATCCCACATGTAGCAGCCCTCTCCCTTCTCGAACATGGGAGGTGGACGAACGTAGGTTGGAACCATGTACGGAAGCTGCTGATTGACGAGGCCCGCTGTCTTTGAGCTTGAGGGAGGATCGGGGGTCGAGAGTGTCGCATCGCGCTACAATTAATCAGAGTTGATTTCAAGAAACGGATCACAGGAGTTACACTTACGGCAATAGAGTCTAGGGTGTCTTGTGGTAAACTTGAGCCTTTGAGTGCAGCTGACGCTGCCGATGCATGACGAACATGAAGACCATTAGATCGTAACGCATGTAATACAGCGCACGCGCGCTTAGACGAGAAGCGCAGCGCCATTCTGTAAGTAAAGCAATGGTCGAGAGTCTTGCAACAGGCTCTGTTGAGCTATCTACCATGACTCTCACGGATGACTATAGAATTTCAGGGTCTTATCGATAGGGTATGCCGACGTCGGAGTGGTTGCCAATTTGCGACAAGCCCTCAATTGAACTAGTACGAATATTATTCAATTTCCAAATATTCCATTGAGCATTAGGTTGCAGCGTCTCCTTGGTGTAGTTGGTTATCACGTGGGTCTCATATCCTCAAATATGACTTCTCCTAAGGAGTAGACATCCCAAGGTCGCCAGTTCGAGTCTGGCAGGGGACAAAATACTTTTTTTGCTCCCTTTTTGCTTTCCTGTGACGATCAGCTCAGCCATGGTTATTACATACATTACAATAGTGCCAGACTCCATTAGCAGTACTCGTCGCGTTCCTACTATCCTATCTGTGTTCTGGAGCTGGCACTGCTTAGGGAAGGCAACAGTTCCCCGATGACTTTGACCCCATTGGCACGCTCTCGCTATTGCCTACATTGTTTACTCCCACTCATAGACACCAGTGTGTGCTTTTTGAGGCCCTGAGACCTCGTTGGACGCGTGAACAATTGTCACGAAAGGAACAGAACATACTTAGTTGGGTACGTACAGTGGGCCTCACTGTGCAATGTCTATCCATAACACCTACGAGATTATAGTAATTAGCTATAGAAGAAAGTACTTCACCGAAACTACGTGTCATGGCCGCTTTGCTCTTCTATGACCACTTGGGGAGGCTGAAGAAGTAGCCCGCTAACACTCGGAGGTTGCACTGGATCTTCGGGAAGACGATTGTTAGGACATGAACCTCGCAAACTCTTTCGTTCTCTCATATTGTGCAATACCCTGGGATTGCTTCCAATGTTGTTGACAGTCACGTGCCCAACCCCTGTCAATGCTACTCACGTGTGTGCGTGGAACGTTCGCGAACAGGGGCTGAGATGACGAAACGCACTGATGTCACACTTCAAGGCACAACCCTACATCATCATCAATTTCTTCTCGCGTGTTCTCTCTCAAGTCATCTTGTTCCGTTCGATAATCACTAGAAAGACATGCTAAATCTGTAAAACATGCCTCAAGCCAAACGACAAAAGCCGAATGAGGGTTCTGGCCCGGTTACCGAGACATCCGGAAATGCGCAGTCTGCGCCCGCAAAGCCAACTGCATCGCAGAAAGGCAGTGATGGCAAGACCGTAAAGGTAAGCTCCCATATGCCGAACATACCATGAGCTCTGAATCAACTGACTCGTGCCGAACCTCCAGGGCCCTGATCCAACACCATACGAATACATCTGCATGAACCGCCCGTTCTTTGACGTGGATGGCGAAAATTGGCGACATTGGGAGGATGGCAAGGCCGAGCGTCTGGAACGCGAAGAAATTGTCGAGAAACTTTCCAAAACAATCTTCCAAAAGGAGGAGGAAGCCGGTATTTGGAGAGCTCCTGCAGCACAGCATCCAGGTCACAAGTGGATCATTATGTGGAGTGCATATTTGAAGTATGATCTCTTGTGTCGCAAGGCCAAGTACTGCGATCCTGACAACTTCAACATGTATCTGTGCAATGATTGGCATGGATGGGGTTTGCAGGAGATTATTGAGAACCAACTACTTGATTTTGACAAAGCGTTTCGGGAGCCAGGCGAGAAGAGGCTCTACGAGATGTGGGCTGTGATCAGCGCGATGGGCTTATGGTTCAACACAGCACACGGGATCGCAGCTTTGTATAGTGAGTTGATTCGCCAAGCCCATGTCCATCACCACATATTGATCATGTAATGCAGTGAATGAGGATAGCGAGACAACCCGCGACCTAATTGGCCTTGTCGGTCGCGCTCTTATTACAGCGCTTGACGTGGTCGAGAATGAAGGCGAACTCAAGTCGGATTCCAAGTTACTCGACTTGTCCCTCGTGATCGGGGAATATCTGGAGTTCGCTTACAAATTCCCTGCTATGGGCATTGAGGGCGAGTGCATGGTATGGCGAAAAGAAGCTGTGACGTACTTTAAAAAAGGGCAAATTGGACGCTAAGAAGGGCGTTTTTGCTACAGATTTGCGGATAAGACAGCTGGAGAAAGGTGATGATGACGCCGAGGAAGTCACTGATACCGATATTGCTCCCGAGGGACACGAAGCGTTGCCCATCACAGTTACCGAAGATGGTGGAAATAAAAAGGAGAATACGAGCCCATCAAAGGCGAAGCCGGTGTCCCCACCACCATCTGCGAGGAAGAGGAAACTGGATGAGACAAAGAGCGCTGCGAAAGACAAGTGGCAGTGGGATGTCAAGTTCAAGGCATACAAGAAGAAGAGATATCCAAACGTGGGCGGACAGCACTACGACATCACAAAAATGAGTAAGAAAGCGAGAGCTGAAGCGGCTTTCGATGGGAAGGATCCTCTGGCTGGTGTGTCAGCGAAGGATTTGAAGAACAACCTAGTGGATATGGTGTAGGGTAAGAAGAGAAAGTTGCGGTAATGTAAGTGCACATGTGTGTAAGATTGCAATAGACTGCAGCCTTGAAGCATACTCCATGCAATGATCCGTAATTGGTCGAACCTGTCAAACCACGCGCCATATAGTGACCAGAAGGAACAGAGTATAATCTAGGGCTAAAGGAATCTACTCTATTTGATCCATGGCATTACAGCAACGTTGGCAATATAGCATTGTATCTCCTGAAAATACCCATATCCCCAACTACTCAGAGCGGCCGATCGCGAAGTTTTGCGAGGTCTGGGACAATACTGTATACTGTTCATTGAACCTTTCCTCTCGCATCGACGGGCCAAATCTCTTCGATGATGCCTCTCCGATGCGCGTAGTATACATCATGTAAATTGATCGTTGGATCAATGTGGCTCGGTATCATCTCCACTGTACCACCCACCTTCAACTCTTTCGCCTGCCCATCCTCCCAAGCCAGACTTCCGTGCTCATCACCTAATACTCCATACTTATATCCAGGTTCTTTGCACTCTGCCAGTCCACTGTCTGTGGTGAGCGACTTCAACCCTGCGTCAATCGTAACGCAGGTTGGTCCTTGCTTGCTGAGAACCGTAGACAAAATAGTCAAGCTGTTCGAATACTTCGTCCCCACCGCATTCCTATAATCCGTATCCATGAAGAGAAATGATCCAGGCTGGACCTCTGTAATCCCAGGAACTGCCACACAAAACTCTGCTGTGCCCGTTCCGCCCGTAGTGACAACATCGATCTGATGTCCATCTTTTCTCAACGCGTCTGCAGTCTGTGTCAGGATCCTCATAGATTCCAAACACAACCTCTTACGTTCATCCAACCCATGAATATGCTGTAAATGCCCCTCGTATCCCTGAACCCCTATGATATTCAGATGTTCACAGCTCGCCACTATTCTTGCAAGTGTCAACGCTGGCACACCAGGCTGCACACCAGTCCTGTGTAATCCAACATCAAGATCAATAAGTGTCAAAATACTCCCCTGCGCTCCACCTTCCTTCATGGCATCGTCAATTGCCCTCGCCCCTTCCTCACTGTCCACAACAATCCTCAAATTCCTATTTTCTTTCCACAACTCGACCAGCCTGTGCACCTTTGCTTGTCCCACAATCTCACACGTGATAAGCAGATCAGTGAAGCCTCTAGTACACATGACCTCTGCTTCACTTAATTTAGCCACGCAGCCGCCTTTCGCGCCAGCGGCGACCATTCTTTGGGCGAGATGGGCGGATTTGGTGGTTTTGAGATGCGGACGGATGGAGACGTTGCTGTGGAGGAGTTGGGTCATCAAGGAGGCGAGGTTGGATTCCATGAGGTCGAGGTCGACGAGCATGGAAGGTGTGTCGAGAGTGGTGATGGGATCACCGGGTTTGGGGGAGTAGGGCATAGTTGCGGAGTTGAGTTGTGCTGGTATGTATGACCATACGAGAGATGGGATAGAAACGTGGTGACGGTGAATTGAGTGGTTATGTTGCGGCTCGATCTGAGGAAGCGATTCAGTATGGACTCCCCTTGAGACCTAATATGTCTGGTTGATGATACTTGATGATTGTAGAGTATCTTGCGCATCGACTGTAAATGTGAAGATGATCAATCTGGAGAGGTGGAGAGGCGCAGTGCTTCCCAAAGTGGTAAGCCGGCTCCCACCTGCCTAAACTGCTCAGGTGGAGGTCAACCTAGTAGTAATGGTATTCTGCAGGCATTGCGCATTTGAGGTTCAGTACGTTGTCGAGTACTAACGCTCCATATTGGGCCGAGAATAGCAGGTCATGCTAATGTTTGCAATAGCTTGGTGGTGTACAGGGAGGCAAAGACTGGACACGGAGTCGGTCGTGGCTTCACCGTGTCACCTGATGAACGTTGCGCATACATCGGTGGCAGCGGTCGTGACTTGTTTGAATGTTGTGCATCAGCTGATATAGGTTACTAGGTGAACAACCGTAAGACTGCTCCCGCAACAGTCGCACACGAAGTACATATTTGACCCATGACTGTAAGATGGGGTTGTTGCTCCAGATAATCTATGCCATACATTGTCGCAACTTCCTAGGCCTCACAGCCATTATACCCGCTCTGCTGCCACATCCTCACACTCTTCACCTCCATCCACCCCCGCTTCTCCCAACTAGGCCACCACGCTCCCCTCGCCTCCCAAAAATCCCTCTTCGCCCTCGGGCTCGCATCAATCCACGGCTTCCCGGCCTTCCCATCCTTGAACCAGCCATTTGTACCACCAACCGCCACATTGAGCACAAGGTAAAAGTCCTGGTCGAAAGGCGACGCATTACTGCCTGTTGCAAGCCACGGATTTACTAAACGGGTGCCGTTTGTGTCTGAAAGTGGGAAGCGGCCATAGTCCCAGAAGGGCTGGTCGAAATGCGTGAACATGACCTGCAGGAGACGTGTGTTGATGTACGTGAAGATGTAATTTTCGCTCCACTACTCGCGTTGAGATTAGAGACGAAGTCAAGTGGGACGGAGAACAAAGGGCAAATTGTAAAACGCACCTCGACGCCAAAAGTGTTGTAGTCTGCTGCATATGTGCTGTGCAAGGCTTTCCGCTTCACGTTGTTAAGCCACCAGCCGTCGTTCAGGGTATCGGGGCCAAAGTGAAGGGTACTAGATGCAATGTTATTGCCACCTTGAGCGTAACTCGCATTGTTACCGCGAGACTCCATAATGTCGATTTCGCCAGAGGCAGACCAATTGCCATATGTGCTTTTGACAGGGAGCATCCAGATTGCAGGCCAAAGCCAATCACCTGCAGGGAGCTTGGCGACAACTTCTATGCGGCCATATTTTAT